AAGTCTTTGTAACAGTCACGAAGTGCTCGATGAACTTCAATTAGTGGATCATCCGAGTCCAATTATCACAAGAATTATAAAGAGATATTTGTCCATTGAAAACGTCACGAAAAAATATTAATCTTTTAATCGACTTGCACTAACTGTCCAACTACTTACGCACGATAGTTGTAAGCGTCGTTAACACGTAAGTTTTTACCTGTTCAGTATCCGACCAGCAGGATTCGTGTTGTAAAAGTACATCACAGCTCGTACGATACTACGGAACATCTGCGTGTGGAGATTCTTCGAGGCCCGCATGCAGACCGTGTAGTACACGAACGTTTGTATAATATAGATACTGACGATAGACACCGTTATGCCGCTATAAAAATAAATGATACTCTGGCGAGACAGCGATCCTTTCCATTGGAAATCCATCGTGCCATTTTCACTCGCCACCCACGACGCCATTTCTGTGTTCACCCAGAATGTGAGGAGGAAGTCGCTGCCGTTGGCCATCGATTGACTCAGTACAAACAGCAACGCCGTCAGGAAAAGCAGGAACACGTTTTTACTCGCTTTGCAATAGGCAAGGAAAACCTTACTGGACATTCTCCCCCTCGATCTGGTTTCCGCCACGTCGACAGGCTCCTCTTCCTTGACCGGGTCCTCTTCTTTCTTCGTCTCGTCCATCGTTCGCCTCTTCTCCTTGTTCACTTTAGCCTCGTTAGACTCTTTCTTATCCTCGATCTCTTGGAAGATCTTCATGAAGTCTAGGTTCATGCTTTGCAACTCTTCGAAGCTGCCTCTCGCTTGGATGCTACCGTTGTTCATGACGATTATCTGATCAGCAGCCTTCAGGTACTGTATCTGGTGGGTGACCAGGATCCTGGTCTTCTCCTTGAGGAAGCCGCATATGCATTGGTCGACGATACGACTGCCGACGTGCGTGTCGACCGCTGACAAAGGATCGTCCAAGAGGTAAATGTCGGCGTCGGTGTACAACGCTCGCGCCAAGTTGATCCGTGCTCGTTGACCGCCGCTTAAATTGATCCCCCTCTCCCCGACCATGGTTCTGTCTTTATGCGTAAACAAGTCGATGTCGCGCGTCAATTGACAGACGCGAATCACCTCGTTGTAACGAGCTTCGTTCATCGGATGGCCGAAGAGAATGTTCTGCCTGATGGAGGAAGCGAATATCCACGGTCGTTGGTCGGCGAAGCTTATTCGCCCGCTGGTCTCTAGAATCCCCTCTTTCAAGGACAGTTCGCGAAGTATCATTTGCAACAGGCTGCTCTTTCCAGAGCCTATCTGACCGATCACCGCTATAAAACTGCCGGCTTCTACTTTCAAGTTGATGTTTTGCAACGTGTCGCTGTCTCTGGACTCGTCCCACTTGGCAGTGACGTCTTTCAAATAAATAGGAACAGATTGCGTGGCCTCTTCGGTCGGAATCTTCTGTGACGTGGAGACTTCAGGGTACATCATGAATATCTCCAGTCGTTTGACAGACACCAACGCTTCTGCCAGTTGATGAACACCTGCGCAATATTTGCTCAGTTGTAATTACAAGTTTCCTTGCACGAAAATTTAGAATTCACACGATTAAATTTTTAACTCTTAATTAGCGTCATTGACACACATTGCGCACTGTGTTATGCACCCTTTCTTTTTTTACGAATCGCAACTATTTTTCTCTAATTTCATCAAGTTTTGAAACATTTCAATTCAATTTTTCAATTCTAATTCAAAGGTGTTCCATCAATAAAAAGGATTTCTGTCTGCCCCACATTGTGAATATAATAACTTGTTTATGATAAATGATCTATGTAACATTGAATGCAATCGAGCACCGATTTCTATTTATATGAAAAAACTCTTAGGAATCTTTTGCTCATTTCTGCGACGAAGGATAAACAAAAATGCATCAATAGAAATTTCGCATGGATGAAACAAGCAAATCACGATACTAAAGACTGAATTAGAGTATATAGCTCACTTAATATCAGGTGATCAGAAAGCATTAACTTACTTAAAGCGAAACCAATGGTCATAGAACTTCCTAAAATAGTGCAGAATGCTGACATCATAAACACCTTCTCAGCATTGATATTGTTTCCAGTTAAAACGTATGTTAATATGGCGATAAATAAACTGACTCGCGGAACGTAGATGTCGAACGTCAAGCCAAATTGTTCAATGATCGAATACTTTTTTATCACGTTCACTTCTTTCCTGAAAATAGTGTGTGTAGTAGTTTGCTGATTTTTACGAAACCCGTTGTAAATACGAATTATGTGTTTTCTTACCGTCTAGCCTTTTCGACAAGCAACGAGTACGGCACTTCCCAAACGTACATTTTAATGATCTCTACACCGGCAATGATCTGATTCATCAATCTCAGCCTGTCGTCAGTCTTTTGAGCCGATCCGAGTGTCAAACGTGACACCTTCTTCCCAAAATACACTGAAAACATCAAATGTGACATAAACGAGTTGGTTCCTACACTTTTTGAGACGTGTCAGAATTTCAAAAGAAACAATCACTTCTTCGAAGAAATGAATATTTTATATCATATGAAATTCTATAAAGAATAATATTGTTCTTTGTATGTGATAATATATTATTATTCTTTAAATTACAAACACTTGGAAACAACTGTATTATTGTTAAAATTCCTCGAAAATAATGTGCAAGGCAAGCAATTTTTTGAGCAATTGAAGCTAAACGATTGTCTTACAACATACTTATCTTTTTGATACTTACTCTGTAATGGAATACACAATAGGAACGTTGTCATTCCTATGATTGCACCGAATCCAATCTCGCGATATGTGAGATACGCTATTACAACAATTTGAAGCGGACCAATCCATAAATAATGAATACTAAAGACAAAGTAATCGAGCCTATTAACGTCGTTGCTTAAAAAGTTCACCATCTGAAGACAGAGGATGAAACAGTGGGACATGCGACAGTGGAGATGAATTTATACGACTAAATTTATACGGCAAAGTGCGATCGACTTGTTCCGTACCTGTCCAGCAGATGTTTCATTTTCAAAGACGGAATTGCACAGTTTAAGCATCTTTCTGTAAATCAAAGCGCAAGAAGCCACTCGAACTTTCATCCCCACGTGCGTGAGCGTCTGTAAGGCCCAATGGATAATCAGAGCGTCGACGAATGGCAAAAGACAGAATCCCGTGGCGTAATAGTATATATTATAACCCCTGTCTTGCCTGTTTCCTGAGAAATAACGTAGCAATCCTGCGAGGAAGAACGGATTCGCGATACTGAAACGAGAAAGATAAGATTTATTTCTCTCCCGTTTTTTCTTTTCTTCTTCTTCTTTTTTTTTTTTTGTTCTGTTTCTTTTTCATCTTTCTCTTCAATGTTCAATTACGGTGTAGCTCTCTCACCCTTCGCTTCGGTGAATTTTTCAATGGATATAACAGCTCGGAGAAATTTCTGGTTTTTCACTCCGCGTTTTGGAAATATTTCTCTGCTTCGTTTTCCAGTAAATCACTCGGAATCGATCAAAGTCGACCGTTCAATGAAACCACTTTTTCAAACTAGCGTCAGAAATTCACAGTCAACCAAGTAATAAAGTAGTAAGAAATTTCTGCGCATTTGAATAGGTAATTTCTATACACGAAATCTATATCTATGATGTTCTTCGTTGCTATGAACGTCGTATAACTAAACATATTTCATTCGAATGACGTGTTAAAGGCAGGCACAACGCAATTCTTTCTGAAGAACTAAGGAAAATATACAGATTTGACACTTCGTTTTTTGAGAGAATCGAGTTTGAAAACTTATCATTTATACTCGAATTTTAAACATAATATTTTCATTCGATGTGTAAAAGTATAGAATAAAATTTTCCTGAGAAAATGTATCTCAAATATGTTCCGTTAAAAATTCTCTTGCATCTCTACTGACAAATTCTTAAATTCAATACCAATGTACAGCAATATCGTATTATTCTCTTTTTTATTCTCTATATTCTCAGTGGAAATTTTTTTTTTCCCAGAAATAAATAACAAATTGCCAGAAATTTCTGCGTGCACAACGTTGAAAATAATGAAAACTATAGCATGCACTCAAGTCGAGAAAGATATTCTCTTCAATCTAATGCTAATACACGGATAACAAGCTTCTGATTTACATAGATTTGCACGTTGATTATAGAATTACCATTAAACTGTTGTATTTGTAACCGTACCGTATAACGAATTCTAGAACGAATAAGCCTAGTCCAGTGAGCATGACTGTTTTACCGAAGCATTTGTAGAATACCCTAAACAAGCTTGGCTTCAATTTGCCTTTCTTCTTCTCGCATCGTTTCACCTCGTTCTCCCAATTCGCCACGATTTGCTGGCCCAGATAGCTGCTCCTGTCTTCTCGTAACGGCGAATACAAGTCTTCCTCTTCCAATTCTTTCTTGTAGCCGACGATCAACAGCTTGAGGGTCCACCTATTCGTTAGAGAATCGATATTGATACGCAAGTGAAGTACGAAACATTGAGAAAATCGAATCGATGAAAGGGAATATAATGTGTTACGGACGTGTCTTACCAAAATGTAAGAATGGACAGTACATTGGCGTTTTGACGCGGATTTTTCACTTCTTTCCTCTGATCTTTATCCATTTTCGCATGTGTAACCGTTCTTGATCATCTCAGTATTTTGATCAGTATATTTCAAAAAATTCTGCAATACCTGATTTCTATCTCATTGCCTGAAATAATTAATTGTAATGATTAATATGTATTATATAAATATTGTTGCGTAATTAATACTAATATAGACATTGTTATTCGTCGCTAACATATTATCAGCTCTTACATGCAGTTATTTCTGGTTGTGCAAAATGATTTGATATTCATATAAAATATTTAAAAATAATAAAATTGAAAAACATTTAAAATACTTATCCATATAGTACTGATATACATATATGTATGAGAATTCGTAATAAATTTTTTATTAATTACTAATTCGTCGTCTATTTCAAAATGGATATTACAATGTACTCATTGCTTTTGTCAAATTCTATTAAAAATTATGTCTTATCTCGTACTATTTGTTCCTTTAACTTTCTTCTGTGAATGTTTAAAAAATACGGCAAACGCTTCTGATTCGTAGGGAAATCTCGTATTCTATTTAAATCTATATCATGCGTCATATTTTATTTTTAATTAAACTTACTAACAAATAAGATAGAAAAAGAACAAAATCGGCCTTTATAGTATAAGATATCCTTTGATCATTGAAATCTTATGTCCCGAAACTAAGAATTTATAATTTTAAAGGTCAAACCTCAACTTCTATTTCCTTTCTGTCGGTTGGAAATCTTGTTTTTTGCAGAAAAAAAATTTTGTTAAATATTCTAGAATGAATGAAACATTTGCAGAAAGGATTTTATACACGATTGAGTCCGGCCCATTCTTCATCACGTTTGTTTTGCAACATATTCGATGGAAATAATCTCTCTCCTACTTTCAACATTTCGCCGACGTTGTTTAACAACAATATCTACACGGCACAAATTTTATCGATTGCAGAGTACTTATAGAGTATTTATAGAGCAGCGAAAATAAAAATCAAGATCTTTCGAGATTAATAATAAAGGATAATAACGTGTAATCTTACGCAAACGAAATGCACTTGCGACTGTGAGCTTGCCACTGTTTTATATGATTTATAAGCGAGAACAAACGCGTACATTGATTTTTGGAACTGGTTTGTTTTCCTCGTCGTTTATCGCGAGTACTCATATCACGAGGCAATGCCATTTAAAAAGCAACTGTAATACGATTACAGAAATAATAAGAAAAACGAAGATAGACAATATAATATAATATAATCTTCATTTCTCGGATGACCGGAGACTGAATCATCCGCCATTCACAATCTAAAGAAGTCTCTGAATGCTTAATTTTCTGAATTTGTCTGGATACTTATCGATTCAACAGTTCAATTTTCAATCTATTAAAAATACGACGCACCTGACGAAATTTTATTCGGAATTCTTCTGTGAATGTGCCGTTACAGAAAGTAAAAGGAGAAGATCGATCGAAGCAGTAAGTTTATTTATATCTGAAGAACTAACAATTCGTATCATCAGTCTATCGATTCTGGCAACACTAGCAAAAGCAACTTATTTGCCATGAGGAAAACTCTATCATTTACCAAAGATAACAATTTTCAAACGATATTTAAACCAAAGACTACCGTGAATTTTTAAATTAAATTGCAAAAGGAAGAAATTGTCAATTATTCGCATATATTTTTTACAATCGAGTATACATTAATAATACACGTATAATATTTAATTGTTATAATTTATTTCTGCAGTTTGTTAAATGTATCTATCGAATCAATTCATTTACCTGCTATCTCAAAGAAACAGATGATTGATTCGAAAATTATTATCAATCTTTAATGAAACGAAGAGAATTTAGTAGAAAATATGAAGAAATAGAGAAGATGAAAAGAAGAGGCAAATTTTCGTCATCCGTTTCGACGGCTCCATTGCCATTTGTTTTCTTGCATCATGTGTGTTCGTGTGTGATTACAGGACCGTATATCATACAGAGAATTCTTGCATCATCACTAATTCTTCTCACTTATCAGTACACGTGTGTGTATCATAGACTATGTATTCAAGGTTGTTGAATCCTTCGCTCGGAAAGACAATTTCTCACTTCCGTCTATAGAACGATTTTCCGC